CCCTAACCCTAACCCTAACCCTAACCCTAACCCTAACCCTAACCCTAACCCTAACCCTGAAGTCGTGCAGTTGACGGCGAAAGGGCGGCCTGACCCCTAAACAATGAAAGCCGAAAACGGAAAGAGACTTCGGTAATAAGTGCCTGAGTTGGAGAGCTGAAAACTTTCAATGCTCGCTGCCGATTGGTGCTAAATGGTGGCGCGGTTGGGTCGTGGTTCCGTGGCAAATTCCGACTTAGACCTCCACGTAGATCAGGCTGATTGATTGATCGGCCTTCTTGTGCAGCCAAGAGTCTTTCCCGCCCAGCCTTTGTTCGCTATAGGCGAATTGAGTTGGAGCGTCTCGATGAGTCGTTGAGACGGGTCAAAAGGTGGAGTATGACGCGTCTCTTTCCTCACGTCAATCATCAATTACATACCCTTCGGCATCGCAAGCACGTCATAAGATAAGAAGCACATACTTTTTACCTTCAACTTTCTTTTCTCAGGGGATGAACTTTCGCCTCATTCTCCTCACCGTGTGCGAGAAAACAAGCTTCGTCAGAGGAATCTTATGATGCACACACCTTCCTTGGCTTGGACTGAGCGTAGGTTTAGCAAGCAAACCGGAACATCGATCGATCGCTGCGTCAGGAAACAAACAACACAGCTTGCGCTTGAAATTACAGGATTTTCCGGTCAACGTTGTTCGGATGCATCTTGGCCCATTCCAGGCTCTTGACCCACAACAGAGCGGCATTTGCTTGGCTTGTTGCATCACGACTAGGCGCCTCCAGATTGAACCGGTTGTAGTATTCGCCCGTGACACCGTCAAGCTGGGGAGATGTGGCTAGCCAGGTGAGAACGCTCCCACCAGCTTCTACCGAACGACCGAGAACTTGCAAGATAAGCCAGAAGATGGGCTCGAAGAGACCGAGTTGGCCCGAACCAAAACCCGAACGGATGAGGCCCGGATGGCAACAGTTAACAGTGATGCCCTCGCTCGTGGCCCAAAGCTGAGACAGACGGCGCGAAAAGAGAACGTTGTAAAGCTTTGAGCGATTGTAATTGTCAAAACCATGCCAGAAGCCGTGATGTCTGCCGGCCCGCAGATCCATGTTGTCCTTCTCAAAGCTGGTATGTCGGTGTAGGTGGCTAGCTGTGTTCACAACTCGTGATCCTCGACGGAGTGAGGGCCTCAGACTCAGAGTGAGCACAAAGTAAGCCAGATGATTGACAGCAATTGTGCTTTCAAGACCGTCTTGCGTTTCGGAGTAGGACTCGAAGTGGGCTGAGAGAAACATCCATTCTTTGCCTGGGTCAGCATCACAGAGCGGAAAAATGCAGAGTGCCAAGTTAGTGGCATGCTAGCGATGTTAAAATAACTCACCTCCAGCGTTGTTGATTAGTACGTCGATGCGGGGCTCGACCGCGACGATCTCTGCTGCTACCCGCTTAATCTCTTCGACAGAAGCCATGTCTGCAATAAAGTAACTGTGTCCCGTGTTGTTGTGTACCGATAGCTTCCTGATGGTTGAGGTCGCCTTTTCCTCGTCGCGGGCAATCAAAACGAGACGATGGCCTTCCTGAGCAAGTTGGGACGCAGCCGCCGCGCCAATCCCGCTCGTTGCCCCTGTGATGACAATGACTTTGGACATGAGATGATCTTGAGCTATGTTGATGCCTGTTTTGGTCTTGAGCCAAGCCGTGGTAGTTCAAGATGTTTCGTCACTTGCATGCCATAAGTACGAACACAGGAGACGAATTTATACGCCAAGTGGAGGCTGGGACTTCTATCTATACACCTCCAACTGTGACTACTGAAGGAAAGCTTCTCTGTCACATGCAAGGAGATATTCCCATCTCATTTACGGGCTTATTTGGCGGGTTGATCCCGACGAGTCTGATATTTCCATTTTATTTCCGGGAATGCCCCGCCGAAGACTCGTGTCATTTCTGTCCTTGTCGGGTTGATCCCGAGGGATCTTGCTCGTTAGGGGTCAGGAAGCATCGAAGTTCGTTTTAGGACGTCCGGAACGCCCCAACCTCTGCCTAAGTCAACCTGCGAACGCCGATTTCTCATGGAAAATTCAAACCAGATAAGAAGACCGAGTCTCCCGGAAGTATAGATGACGCCGAGATCTTTACCAACCATTCTCTATCCTTCGAATCACTGAACACATCATCACCTTGGGGAAGGATGACCACATTCGCCGCCACTGCCCCCAATCGTCGCGTTCTTGTCGATGGCATCGCTTTTGCATACCGGGATCTGGGCCCTCGTGATGGGGTGCCCGTCGTCATGCTAAACCATTGGGGCGCCACACTCGACAACTTTGACCCGAAGATCGTGGATGGACTGGCTTCGAAGCACCGAGTCATCGCATTAAACTATCGAGGACTGGGCTTGTCCGAAGGAAGCGTACGGGACTCCGTCTCTGACATGGCAGACGATATGTGTGCCGTCATCCACGAACTCGGTCTGGCGCAAGTCGACCTGTTAGGGTTTTCACTGGGAGGCTTCGTAGCGCAAGAAATCACAGTTCGGCATCCAAGATTGGTGCGCAAGCTTGTGCTCACTAGAACGGGCCCCGCGGGAGGCGAAGGGGTAGGAACCTGGGGGTCTATGCCCTGGCTCTTTCTGAAGAGTCTTCTTACTTTGCGCGATCCAAAGTACTACCTATTCTTCCCACCTTCTCCGAACGGTAGATCAGCTGCTGAGGACTTCTTAAGCCGCATAGCTGAGCGCAAGGTCGAGCGAGATGCAAGCCCATCTGCGCTCGCCTTCTATCGCCAAACCCTAGCCGCCAAAGCATGGGGCAAACGCACTCCACAAAATCTTGGGACAATCGAAATACCAGTCCTCATCGTGAATGGCGACAACGATGTGATGGTTCCCACCGACGGAAGTCGAGACATTGCCGCTCGCATTCCCAAGTCTCAACTCATCCTATTTGAGGATTCTGGGCACGGAGCCATCTTTCAGTATCACGAGGCTTTCGTTGTGAAATGCCTCGCTTTCCTTGAGACTTCTTAGAATGCACGCACTTCTTGTAGTGGGATTAGGGTTGTTGTCAGCGTGTCGTAAGATGTCAAGTTGAGTCCGCCAACAAAAGCGATCCCTATAAGAAGTTGTTTTCAGTTCCTATACTGCTCTTCTTATTTGCTTTCAATGAAAAGCACTTTGGGATAAGCCTTCATGACCCTTATGGGTATGGGCTACAAACGTGCTACTTGAAGCTTGACGCGTCACGGTCACTTTTCGGGGAATGCACCTATATGTACTCTACATGTCTGTGTAGCCTCTGCAGAGTGCCCGGAGGGCGCTCAAGGAAAGTTGAAGGGATGTTTTAGAACAATGGGAAGTCATGGTTTCTGGAAAAATCCAAAGAGGGTACACGTACGGCCCGGCGCGACCGTCGAGATAAAATCCGAACACCATCCATCCCCCTCTCGAGACGGTTTGACCTCAGAGCAAACCCTAGACGCAGCCCTCAAAAATTCAATAGGATGCACGGCCTCGTCGCGGGCCCAATGCGCATCGATTTAGGTGTGTGTGGTCTTGGCACTGTCAGGCATACCGGCAAAGTTTGATTTGCTCCGCAGGTAGGCGCCATGTCGATAGAGGAGCAGGAGGGCTGGAATGCAAAGTACCGTCAGGCCAGCTATGAGAGAAACCCCGCCGCCGATTCCTAGATTCTTGAAGAGGGGACGGCCTGCCATGATGAATCCGGTGGCGAGCGAGGACCTGCAGAAGTCATTGGCTGCCAGAAGCGAAGCAGAATACTTGGGGTACATCAGCGGGATGTAAAGAAGCACGCACTGCAGGAAAACGTAGAAACCGATACTGTATATACCGACGCCGATCAGGCTGACCATCCAATGGACTGATTCGCGCGCCGACCAAGCGTATAAAAACAGCCCTACAGGCATCAAAAGACTTGCGGGAATAGCAGGAAGCAGACGCGACTCGAGTACCGGCAGCTCGCCGGTTCCACGAATTTTGGGCTCGACGTAGAAGTAGATGTAGTACGTGTAACAGGCTGCCCCTATTGCGGTGGTAACAACCACACTGACAAAGGCAACGCCAGTCGTGCCGAGGGTGAAGCCGTAGATGACCGGATAGATGAGCGGGAAGCTCTCGAAAAAGCTGTAGTAGATGGCGTACACCAGAGAGACGTAGGCGTTCATGAAGCCGGTGCCCGGATCCAGCACCGAGATCTGAACGGGACGAACAAGATTTTCAATGACCATCTTGGAGACCGTTAGCTTCTTCTGCTCCATCTCTCCTTCCGATTGAAGTGAATTTTGCCCAGTTGCGACACGAAGGCGTTTCGCTCTGCGGTAGAGGATATTCTGGTGGCTCGTTTCAGGCAAGGTGAAGATCATGACGAGAAGCACCGGTGCAATCAACCACACCTCGATCCACAACGGCCAGCGCCAGCCTTTGGCTTGGGCCGCAAAACCTCCCATCACAGGCCCCAATGCGGGTCCCATGCTAGCTGCAGCAACCCAAAGAGCGATACCGTGCGGGATCTTGGTGATGCTGTAAATGTCCTGCAGCGTCGCACCGCCAGTAGCTAGAGCAGGAGAGCCCATGAAGCCTGCCAGGAATCGGAAAACAAGAAGGCTGCCGAAGTTGGGAGCTAGTGCTGCGCCGATGCTGAAAAGCAGTCCTAAGAAAGTTGTTATGATGTAGATCCAATTGCGCCCAACTGCTGGGATCTCGGAGAGGGGGGAGAACAGCATGGCCCCAGAGCCGTATCCAAAGACGAACAGAGCGAGACCAAGATTGCCCGCAGCGTATGAAACGTTGAACTCTCGCATAACGCCTTCCAACGAAGGTGTGTAGACAGCTGACCCCATATAGACAGCGAAAGTGTAAAGGCAGATCAGACCCGCAACATATGCCTTCTCGGCGGAGGACCAATTTTGCGGGTTGGCAGGGTCTTTGTCACCGTACCAAGTCACTACGTTTACGGCGTTGCTTGTACCGTCAGCCGAAAGACTGGTCTCGGAAAGTTGTGAGGTGGCGAGAGACGCTTTAGACTCGGCATTGCTCCATCGCATGGCATAACTCAGCCAGGCTGGTGTAACATTGCTGCCGGGCTCTTGGGGTTCATGTCCTCCACCAAGGCCTTTCTTATGTTGATGCTCCATGTTGACCTTGCTGCTGGATTCGGGATGGGCGAAGCGTTTGCCTCCGCTGAGGGCTCGGGCAATTTGACCAAATGCGGTGTCGCCGATGTGCATGGTGAACGATTTACGCGCAATGGGTCCTGCGACTTAGGGTTACGTTTTGGCTTGAGAGGGAAGAAGAATATCGGCCAGGCACGAATGTGCAGACTTATAGAAGCTGGCCGATGGCAGGAACTTGTAGCGAATGTCGAGGGCTTGCAATAACAACGGTGAGCCAGAGCAGGTTATGTATAGCGACGGAGGATGTAAGCCAACTACGTAGACGTCAGACGGAGATCAATTTGAGGCTTCGGATGCCAGTCTCTTGTGATTGCACAAGTATCTTCCAGTAGGCAAGCAAGACTTCCGGCTACGAGGCTAGAGTATTGACACCTGATGTAAGAATCTATGTACGATCCCAAATTCTGTATTTCCGAATCTCCGTAGAACCATGGCAGATATCTGATTTTCTATCCCCGGACTCCGACCTCTTTGACGTCTGCGTTTATTTGAACGAGCTACAGCTACCGTGAACAGAATCGTTTCACGATCTAATCTTGGAAAGACGCCACACTTCTGCCGATCCAGTCAAGCTTTGTCATTAGCTGCATGCATCTCGTTCTGCGTCGCGCGATGTCCTTGACGAGGGTGGCAGATGACTCACGGAGATTTCTCATGGGGGTTTTGATTATGCAGTCGTGTCCTGCGACAATCTACGGTCTGCGAACGAGGGGAATGTCTCCGATTCTGCATTTCAGAATTTCCGTGTAATTATGCGCAGATGTTTGATTTTCCGGTCCGGGACTCTCAGCGATCCATTGACAGTCGCGCTTGACGTCACTCTCAAGGAAACATTCCGTCGCAGCGAACTTTCTTTCCGCGGAAGCGGGCACAGCTGTCGCGTAACATGGTGATCGAGGATAACAGACTGGTCGTTGAGGGTCTTGCGGACCGCACGGACTTATCCGAATCAATGTAGGAGACCTAGGATCTCAAGAGCCTCAGTTTCCGGACTTTCGGAGATTCGGCTAATTTTAGTCCGCATTGCAAGCTCAAGCCTATTCGGAGTCCGGGCCTCGGCTGACTAACAAGCCTCCGTCAACCGGAGCTGTATTGCTGCACAATCAGTCCCGACGAGACTTGCGGCCGGTGCGGTAGCTCGGTCTGCTGCGTACTGCCCGTCTCATATATGAAGAAAGACCATCTCGCTTTTTTTGTCGTCAAATTGAAAGCGTCTCTCTTCACACTATCTGATCGAACATGAGGAAGGTTGACTATCCCAGATCCACTGCTTTAGTGACCGGAGCAACCAGCGGTATTGGATTCAGCATCGCACAAGAGCTCATCTCGCGAGGTATCGGCAAGCTTGTTATCGTTGGAAAGCAGCAAGACAAGCTCAGCTCGTCTGAAAAGCATTTAGGTCAAAAATGCGGCGCCAAGCAAGAGATTCGTTCGGTCCTCGTCGATCTGACCAGGCACGATGCGAGTGACTACATCCAGAAGCAAGTGTCCGAATGGGGCTGGACTATCGACATCCTCGTCAACAACGCAGGTGTGGCGACCAAGCAGAATTTCGTCTCGGGTCGTGACCAGGCGCTGAGTTGCGTTGATGTCAATGTTCGCGCAGTGGTCGATCTATCTGCCTGCTTTCTTCCTGCGATGCTGGAGCGCGACAGCGGCGGGCTTCTGAACCTTGGTTCGACTGCGGCATATCAGCCAGTACCCTGGACAGCTACATATGCCGCGACGAAGGCGTTTATTCTGTCCTGGTCGCAAGCCATCAGGCAAGAACATATCGATAGTGGCGTCCGTATTGCATGCATCGTCCCCGGTATCACCAAGACCAATTTGGATCAACATGGCGGCGGGGAATCTAGGGGTGCTCTCGACTATGTCAGTGTTCATCAGTCGGCCTATGTCGCCAAGGAAGCCGTTGATGCATATGAGAGGAACAGCGCAGCGCAAATCGTTGGCTTGAACAACAAGCTCCTCCGCCTTGCTGGCGTGCCTATGCCGGCGCGGTTCATGGCCGCATTCGTTGCAAAGGTCAGAGGCCCGCCCTGAATGGTGAGCAGCAGGACTATCAATACAGTATCTCACGGGCGCGGACAATCTTCTGCGGCTCGTGCAACAGGGCGAGGGCGTCTGGGCATGTTGAGCTCGTTTCCCACCTTTCATATGCCGTCTCTTCATGTACCTAGGTTAGGCTAGTACATCCTTGCCTCCTTGGATTCCCTCGCTTTTGTTGTCGCTCGCCCCTGCGCTCATCCAGCCCCCTCTCCGGCGGGCAGGGAGCCTCATCGAGCTCTTAGATCTCTCCGCAGGCCTCAGCCGCAATTGAAATGTCCGACAT